GTAAAGCCACGTTTATTTCTAATATTCCTTCAGTATTCCTCAGCTCCCACATCTCCACAGTGTTCTGTAATGACTTCCTGTGTGCTCATTCTCTAATGGAAACTCCACAGCCTGTTGTCCATTTGATCTTATTATTGCCTTCTGTTTTTTAATTATTATCTGGGGAAGCTCAGCCTCGGCCTATTCTTTGGGACTGGTGCTCAAACCTTTCTAGATTCTAAGCAGCATTGTGCGTGCTGCCAGGTGTCAGCTGCCCTCCCCCTCCCTCCCTCCTTCTCTTCCCTCCACCCTCCCTTTCACACCCCCTCAATCTATTCATCTCCTTTTGTCTCTCTGTCAACTTCTCTCTCATGCTTTCTCTGTCATCTCTCATCCTTCATACTTTCTGGTAATCCATTGTTGCCATACACCCCAAAAGTGGAGCTGGGGGTACTGCGACTGGGAGACCGTGACCATGAATGGACAGAGGATGAGTGTGTGAGATCTAGATGGGTGAGTGAACACACAAAGACATGTGTGTTCCTAGACCACAGTAGAAGTTATATGAGAATTCAGTCCCTGTTTGTAATTGGTCCCCCCATCTCTCTCTCTTATCACAGAGCATAATTTGAGTTCACTACATATTTCAAGTACGTACACACATGTATATTAATATATAATGCATAGAGGATGTATGCATGTTTACTGTATCTGCAACAAGGTATTTGCAAATGCTCTGGGCTATGTGAATATGTTTTATGACTGAAAAGTAAATGTGTGCAGTTTTACTGGAGAATCCCCTTTGAGGGTGCTGGGAAGGTTTTGTTTTTTTGTTTTTTTGTTTTTTTTTAATGGGAGTTCTACTTATGGGTAGAACTTGTGGATGCACCTCCATATTTTAACAGTAATCGCCTCCTTGGTGTAATTAATCGAAAATTAGTTTCTGAAAGTAAAAATTGGGTCAGAAATGGAGATTATTAAAATGTACAGTTGCAAAAGCCTGACCCTACAAACCCCATTTATGCAACTGAGTTCCAGAATGCTTTGGAGTGGCTGATGACTCATGGACGCTTCTTCCTCTGGCTGGTTCAGTGTAGGCAAGAGGTTAGCCGATGTGGGGAAATTAAAACAATGTTGTACATTATATTGGTACCAGCCATGGAAAAGCCTATTTTGTATGCAAGGCAGCAATGTTGAGATATATGGAGAGCCCTAGGCTAAGTACAGAAGATAATTACATTTGGAGTTTTACTGAGTTAAGTCATTTACAGCTTCAAATAGTTGCAGAGAAAAATCAGCCCAAACACACTTAAACTTTTTGTTGTGACTTTTCAGGATAGAAAGGATTTTTTTTTCCTCTCTCTCAAAAAATTAGTTATCATCTTATATGACAAACTACAATTTTGGTAGAATACTTTTTCCTCCTAAGTTATTTTCTTGAGCTCGTTAATATTTTCCATTCAGACAGCAAATATAAACGCACTGGGAATGGTGAGATGTTTGTGTAAGTTTAGAGCATGCCATAAAATCAGTCTTTGAAAGCATGTTTAGCTTGAGCGTCTCTATAGAGAAGGGACGTGAATAGGAGGATTAACCCACTCCCCACATTTATCTAAAACTCAGACCTGGCTAAAGTGGGTTCCACCAAATGGGACTTTTAACTCTTACTGCCTGCAGGTCTGTCTATATATTTATTGGTGGTGGTATTTTTGAACTGATGTGTGTCTCTAGATTGATTTATTCGCTATGATATTAAATTCTGTGAGGGGCATAAATAAGTTGTCAGAGTTGTAACAGTCTGCCCAGGTAGGTTTTCCTATCTGTCTGCATGGTTGATCATGGGCCACAATTAATTACTAGGGAATCAGAAATCTAACTTATCACTTATTTCTCATTCTCTATGGAGAAGGTCAGGGGAGTGGGCAGAGCGAGCCTTTGGTCAGACATGCTATTAGGTCCTGGCCACTTCCATGATGCTTTTCAGTGGGTGTAGCCTAGAACTACAAATGTGTAAGAGCAATACTGTTTGCAGATTTCACGTGGTTCTGAGACCTCAGCCTTCAGCCTTGATCAGACCAAATTCAGGCTTTTCAGGGGGTGACAGAAGACAAAGATAATGTGGCTGGAAGTCAGCCAACTTGTATGGCTACCTGGAATGCCGTAGTGTTCTGATTGAGAGTTGCTGGCAGGGAAAAGAGGCTTGATGGTTCTGCTGGTCCCATTTCTTCTCAGCTTAAGAGCCGATATAACAGATGCATGGGGCTCGTTCAGAGTTAGCAAACTGTCAACAATGACCTCATAGTCTGAGAAAGGTTGTTAGGTGGTTGGAAGCATGAGAGGTGGAAGTGGCATGAAACTCAGGCCTTATTGTTGGTACATTACATTACATAGAGACACAGATAGGCAAAAGCCCATTCACTGATACTGCTTGATTGATTGTACTCCACCGAAATAGAATCTGGTAACAGTACCGGAACCCCTATGGATTACAAAGCTGAAAACATTTACTACATGTTTGTTACAGAAGTTTGCCAACAACCCCTGGTCAGAAGGATGAGAAATTTCATTATATTAGTCAACTTGTTTCCTTTGGTGTCTAAAGTTCGGCCTTCCCCTCCATATGCCTCCTTAGCTGTAGCATGTAAAACCTCCATTCCCACATCATTGCAGTAGCTTCAAAGGCAAGTGCTGGCCCACCTTTGCCTCCGGGATACTGGCTCATTTATTCATCTCCTTACAGAGCAAGGAAGGACATTTCCAGAGGCTCTATGAAGGATTGTAGTGGTTACCAGTGGATAAAGCTGACCTCCTGTTTCTTATATTCTACAAGGAAAATTGGACAATAAAAATAGATGAGGAGTGGAAGGCTAGACAATGGCTCAGTAGTTAAGAGCTCTTAATGGCTCTTACAAAGGGCCAGGATTCCCAGTACCCACGTGATGGCTCATAACTGTCCGTAACTCCAGTTGCAGGGACTAGACACACTCTTTTAGCCTGTTCAGATACCTGCACACATAAACACACACCACACACACATTATACATACATTATAAATAAAATAAACAAATCTTCCAAAGCTGTAGATGAATTGGCATGGTGGTACACAGATGTAATCCCAGCACTCAGTGGGCAGAAGCAGCTGGCTTTTCAGGAGTTCAAAACCAGCCTGGGCTATGTCGGGAGTTTCAGGCCAGCCAGGGCTACCTGATAGTACCCTGTCTCAAATAAAAAAAACCAAACGAACAATAAAAACCACCTCCTAGAAAACAAGTGGGACTGCCATTGGCTGGCAAGTTGACACAAATTCTACACAATAGCAGGACTTTATCAAAAGAAGGTTCCAGTGCTAGAAAGGGAGCAGCTAAACCCGGATAGTTATTCCTCAATCAATCCAACAACCAGACAAAAGATGTGAATTGTTCCTGGTTTGTCTTGTTTCTGTGTTGCTGCTGGGGACTGAACCCAGGACTCTACTTAGTGCTAATCAAGTGTTCTACCACCCAGCTGCATCCCCAACCCGAGTTTCTGTGCTCTAACCCTTACCCTGAGAATTCAGATCTCTCCTGAAGACTGGATGAAAGAGAGTTTAGATGGTAAGCCTAGCAAGTTGGGGAGCTCTGGAGACACCAAGCAATGTGATCAAAATAAGATTCCTTCTTGGCTTCCTATTTCTTTAGAGTTCAGCATTTCCATGTTTGTTTGGTCATTGTATATACCTATGTTGTAAATGTACTGGGTTTTTTTTTTTTTTTTTTTTTTTTTTTTTTTATGTTCAGTTTTGATTCAAGGGACAAGTTCTCAGCTGGCCCTGAACTCAAATGCAGTCTGACTGCCTCCACCTCTTGAGTGTTGGGGTCCCAAGCATGCCTCATAGCACTCAACCTGGGAATGGCCATAGAACCAGAGGTAATGGGGGCAGACAGTGACATGCAGTGTAAGGATACTCTGGGGAGCCAGACTTGGACTCAGACAGCCTCTCTGTTGCTGGTCCATGTACACACGAGCATCCCCTCTCATCACAGCCTGGGGTAGTCCCTGCTCTAGAAAAAAAAAAAAATGTACTGCAGAGCACTAGTCCAAGGAATTGCTTCTTTCCCAGCCCAAGGGATTCTTAACTGTCTTAGTTTCTCAAAGTTTATTATAAAATTGCTAGTTGTTAAAGCATAAACTTAGGGAATATTTGTAGCTCAATAGCACAGTTGTGTTCAAACGGTTAAAAGTTTGAACAATACCCCCTCCCCCAAAAAATTATGTTGTGTTAGACTCACACGTCTTCCACCTAATTCACTGGCTGTGTGTTGGGAGAGGCAGAGGCCACTCATTTGCCCTGTTTCACACAGGTTCCCACTGGATCTTGGCGTGTGCATGTGTGGTGGCTCCTTACATCTAAATTAGAGGATAATAAGGACTTTAAGATGACTAGGAAGCACTGTACGCTAGAGCCTTTCCTGCCTCCCAGTAGGTAAAATGGGGCTGGAAAGCCCATATTTTCGCCACCACATCAATTACAAAGCAAAGGGAGGTGTGTGTCTTGAAGTACATGATGAATGTTTTCTTAGCAGTGAAGAGAAGGGCTGGTCAATCCCATGCCAAGTTTGCCTTTGAATTGGCCTCCTTGAGAGGAAAGAGAGTCCAAAAGATCTTGTAGAAGATGTTCTGAGATTCTGGACATTTCTCTCCTTGTCTCACTACTTAAAAGCCAGTTAGAATGTCTCACCAGTGGAGTTAATAAGGGCCAATCCCTGCTATTACTTAGGAGCTGAACATTATGAACCCAGGGAGGCTCATATGAGCAGATGTAGATGTCATAGCAAGAGAGGCATGGACCACAGAGGAGAGGCATGGACCACAGAGGAGAGGCATGGACCACAGAGAGACATGGACCACAGAAGTCATTTGGTTAAGGGCTCTTTTTTTGGGGGGGGGGTCAGAAGATACATTTTCATTATTCCATCTGTTAAATGTTCTCTTTGGATGGATTTTTTTTGGGGGGGGGGAGGAATGATGTATAAAAAGATGAG